ATGGTACAGTTTTAAGCGTTTAATGACATTGAAATCTGTTGTGAGTGTACCTTAAATTTCCTACTTCGAAGCCCTGTTCTGACGCCCTGGTATGTTTAGCAGAATGGGAGTTTACATCCAAGTGGTATTGGAAACTTTGAAATCATTAAATCTGATGCCAGTAGACAAACTACTCAGAAGTGATCTTTGAACTGGAAAGCAGTAGAACGAGTGGGATGTTGATGTACAGTAGGGGGTCAAAGAAGAAATTCTCAACAAAAAAAACCTGGGAAGAGTCTACATATTTCTCAGGTTTTGGTACTTTAGATTATTAATATAGTTATTTTTCAGAGAACTTTGTTTTAAAATCGTAGCTCTGTGTTCTATCCTATAAATGCTTCTCTAGTTCAGATTGCTAAATGAAACTGGTTGAAATTAATTACTTGTTGAAACTTAGTTTTAAAGCTAAAAAATACTTTAAATCTGCAAGCTTTCAGAAACATTATTGTGAAGCACTGAACTGAGGCCAGTTATTTTAGTAAACTGAATAGTGAGCGTTACTATGTTTTTGTAGAAGATTTTGTGCTTATTGGTTATATTTTTTGGTTGGTGCTGCAAGGCTTCTCATCTGTTGAGATTTTAAATTTTACTCAAAGCCACATCAACAAATAGCAATGGAGACTTTGGGATTTTGTGTGTAGTTGAAAAGGGGACTTAAAAAAACTAAACTAAATGTGGGGAGAGGTACTTAATGTCCATCTTAAAACTTAATTTACAGGTAATTTTTTTTTTTCTTAGTATACTAGTAAAACTTTAAAGTATTAATGCTGAAACTTGCATTCTTCCTTACCTTTGCAAGGTTGGAATTCATACCAAGGCATGGTTTATCGCTGGGATATTTCTACTAATGACTATACCGATATCTCTCTGGGGAATACTACAGCACTTAGTTCATTATACTCAACCTGAGTTACAGAAACCAATAATAAGGTAATGTTTTGTGTTTACCTGTGCTACAATGTTGAATCTAATTCAGACTAAAAGTACTATTAGTAATATTAAATGGGTTTTTTTTGTTATTGTACAGGATTCTATGGATGGTGCCGATTTACAGTTTAGACAGTGTAAGTGTTCTCTTACTGTTTACAGCTCAATGAAACTGTTTGCTGTGGGAGTGACGGAAAACACCGTCACAGCAGAAACAATGCTGCGTGTAGAATCGTAGTCCTAGAAACTTCAGGGCATTCTTGTTTATGGAGTACGTCAGAAGCATAGTTCTAGTAATAGTACATTCTTCTAGTGGAGCTTGTGGGGTTGCTTTTGCTAACCCTTCTTAACCTTGTCTGTCCTTGAGTATCCTTTATGACAGAGGTGGAAAGGGGTATGACAAGAGCCTGCTTCTGGTCCTTCCATCTTCAGTACCAGCTGACCTGGAAGCCAGACTGATCCAAGTACAGTCTCAAAAGTCAGTGCCTTGCCTTTCTGTCCCGAGTTACACTTCTGGATGGGTTGTGTCTGCACGTCACCTCTGGCTCCGTGCATAGCGGTGACTTCAGCCAGAGCTAGGTGACATGTTAAATCTCTGTACTGTACCGAATAAGCGTTTGCATGTTGTAACCACCTCTTGACGATGCAAATGCTTCTGTTTCCTCCATAAAAGGACAGCTTTCCAGGAACTTTTCCTTTCATTTTTCTCCCATCTCTGGAGTGTTTATGAAATGTCACCTTTATGTATGTTTTCCTTTGAAAGACTGGGATTTAGAGTATGAGAGAAGGAAGGAGAGCAGGGAAGAAAACAACATTATCTCTTTCTTATGGGGAATATCAACTACTTCAGGCTGGTATTTCAGTTACGGAATTTTCCTTTGGAAGAAAATTAATTGCTAATTAAATGAGTTTTAGCCAGGCTTTCAGGGATATTTCTGATACGCTGAAATCTTACCCCAGACTCCTGGCTGTTATGGCCTTTGCTGCATAAGTGCTTAGTCTGAGCTGAACATAAAGCTCTCTTCTCAGATTAAAATACTGTATTCTCAGTTTACTAGACGCAGCAGTACATCTTCCACAAAGATGTTGCAGCATCCGTCAACTCTAGCGTCTCTTAACAGTGAGAGGATGTGAAGCATCTTCCTGTAGTTCTAATACGAAGGTCAGAGAAGGCACATTCACTCTACTACAACCTAGGGAAGCATAGTAAACTCCAAAGACCTGCCTCTATTTAAAAGTACGCCCACAAGAAACAAAACAAAAAAACACTAGGGCAAGTTTCACTGAACAGCACAACAGCTGTGTGGTGCTCTGACAGCTGATCCATAATCACAGTTACATGGAAAAACGCTTTTCTGTCTGCAGTTCTGGTTTAGAGGGATGACTACTGCTGTAAGGTTAATCGGCTGCTTTCTTCTCTATTTTGTAAATATGCCAGAACTAATATTTACACATTAGATACCAGAAGCAGTCAACTTTATACTGATGGGCTAAAAACTTAAGTTCTCCAACCCCTATTGACAATGAGTATGTGAATTTCGGGAAACAGTTCTATCTCGTCTCCTCCTAACGGGAGTAGGCTATGTGTAGGAACTTTTAAATTAAAGACTGAATGGTGTGGTCAGAGATACAGAGCGTCCCTTGCGCGATGTGTTAAGCACGCTTCCGTTTCAAGCAGCGGAGATGCAATCTGAAGTTCCCGTTGTGTTTTTACAGAATGTTATTTTCTAGCTGTAGCATCACACTCTTATTAGCCAAGTGCTTCAAGCCCCGTTTAATTAGTGCCTGCTGTCTAATGAAGTATTGCTTGCTGAACTTGCCAGCCAGCGTTGTCATTGGAATCACTTTGGCCTTTCTTGCGTGTAACCTTTTGTGTACTTCTCTTCTTGCAGTGGATAGCTTTGAAATACCCCAACATTGCAATATACGTGGATACGTGTCGAGAGTGTTACGAAGCTTATGTCATCTATAATTTCATGGTTTTTCTTTCAAATTATCTAACCAACCGGTATCCAAACCTCGTATTAATAATAGAAGCAAAAGATCAGCAGAGACATCTGCCGCCTCTGTGCTGTTGCCCATCGTGGGCTATGGGAGAGTGAGTATATGATGGTATCTTAAAACATTAATTTGCACAATGGGATGCAAACGTTTTGGTTTGACGTTCAGTAGCGTTAACCGTTGTGGCTTGGCAGAGTCAGTTTATGGTTCGTAGACGTTTAGTTTATCGACTGTGAGCCCCTGCTGAAAGCAGCTGTGAACATGTTTTCATCTAGCTGTGAAACATCCTATAAAGCACACTTAGTAACTAATACATTGACTCAGGTGGTGCTGAGGGAAACTTCCTTTTTCTTGAAAAATACTGGAATTTGCTTCCTTTGCTATCATGTATTATTTGCAGAAAACCTCACGTAGAATCACTGGTAGGCCAGAGAGCCTCTAGCTTTCATTCCCACAGGGGAAGGATGGAAAGCCATATGCCCGTGAACATTTGTTTCTGCTTAATCCGATAAGCGTCTCTCTTAAGAGATTTTGATAAAGCTGTTTACAGTGTTAAAGCCAAACTCTGAATGTAAGTCATTCTTAAAACATCTTCAGACACAGTGAAAATTGAATTCTCTGTGTTTAGCCCAGCCAGAATCTTTACATGGCTAAAAGACGTGAATCACGGAGTTATTTCCTGTTACGGACCTATACAAGTCTAAGTTTTTTGTGCCCTGTGTATCTGCACATTCTGTATACGCTGCAGCGCCTGAAGTCCTGAAAGCAGAAGTTGAAATTGCCATGAAATAAAAATTCACTTTAGTGAAACTACGGAGAACAGGAAACTTCGCTAAGTGAATTGTCTTTAAATTCCTGTACAATTAATTTTGTGTTTCTCTTGCAGAGTTTTATTATTTAGATGTAAACTGGGTGTTTTGCAGTACACTGTTGTCAGACCATTTACTACTATTATTGCTTTGTAAGTATGCTCATAAATAATTAATACTGATCTTCAGGATGTAATTTTGAGTTACACTGGAAAGAATTTTCATGCCCTTTGTATTGAATCAAGGCAGTTTGAAAGCGGGCTCATCGTGTTACATGCTAAATGGGTCCCGGCAGTTTGAATCAACCTATGATTTCTTTATGACTTCTCAATAGCAAATGGCTATTTGCAGAATTGAAATAATAAATGCTTAATGCCTGCTGCTGGAAGCAGTGGGAGAGAATGTGAAGGACTGTTTATGTGGAAAAGACATTTTTTTAGAGTCTTTTTTTATTTTCCTCCTCCCTTTTGTCATTGGCTTCAACAATTGGGTATTTTTAAAGTCAGGTTTCATGTAACTTTTTACATTTTATTAAACTTCGCAAGTGACAAGCCTGACCATGTGTCTTCATATGTGTGATATAACCTGTTGTGAAGGAGTAGCTGGCAGTTATGCATGTTGGTGCTGAAAGCTTAATTTCATAAACTCTGTATTGATGGTCATTGCTATTAATTCTGTGGGACTGTGGAATAAGTTGCTACTCACAAAGAGTATCCATCTAAATATGTATATGAGCTGTGTGTGTCCTAATGGTTGAAAGCAAAACAGCTAAGAAAATGTTGATGTTTTAATTGTTGAATTAATTCAGCAACAGGCAGTGTAAACCCTGCATTCAAATACCATTTCTTCTACAGAAAATATAATACAAACCTCCGGTGGCTTAGTCTATTGGAAACTGATTCTCGTGCAGACCCCCAGTGCCCGTATTTGAGTACTAAGGGAGACTTTGGTTGAAGATGTAGCACTGTGAGAAAGCCATCGTTTACTACGTAGCAATTAATTCTAAACATTCTTTCAGAATTTGTGAACTAGTGGGAGTGTATGATGAAGGAAACTTCAGCTTCAACAATGCTTGGACTTACTTGGTTATACTTAACAACATGTCACAGCTAGTGAGTATCACGAGTGCATCTTTCTGCTCTTTAAAGTAATTGTATTTGTATTTTCTGTATCTTTTTGCATGAACTATTGAAAGTAATTGTGTTAATGCCCGGTAGTTCTTATGTAAGTCTGTAAGTCAAAGTTACTATCTGTTTAATACTATATATGCAAAATACTAGGAAACCACATAATTGACACTTCTATTACTTTTACTATGAAGCTGCACAGACCAATCAAGTCTCCCACCTCTCTGCCCCAAACGATTTGATGGGTGAAGTGGGATGGCCCAAGCATGTTCAAACTGCAGACTTGCCCCTTTGCAGAAGAGATGACTTCACTCACCCCTGTAGCTTCATCCCAGCACACATAGAAAGAATCAGCAGTGGCTACGATAAAAGTACTGTGTCACAGAGCTGGTAGTAAACAACAGAGACAGGAAAAAACCCTTGTCTTGTTGGTTCAGCTGCCAGATGATGTGAGAGTAAGGGTAAGATTTCAGCCCCTGGACTTTTTGGAGGTCAGGGATTGCATTTAGTGGCTTGCTGGGAGCGCAGGGCAGTCGTTTTCTCCTTCACCCAGGGCACACTGCACATGAGTTACTGCAAGAGGAGATGGTGGCAGCTCTGGCTCCTTGCTGCTTAGCCTTCTAGCCTTCAAGCATCTTACTTCTCTTGGCAACAGCAGCAGGAGTCGGAACAGCACAACATCCCATCCAGACAGGGTGTCCTCCTGCTGCTGCCAGCACCGTGTTTGACAGGGACCGTTACGGAAGGAGCTGCAACTGCTTTCTGCCGTGACAGCAGCCCCAGCAGCTGCACGCGCTTCTGCATGTCCTGGCTGTCAGGATTGCGTAACGAAAGGTGGTGGGCAGAGGCTAGGAGAGCGTGTGTGAAAAGGGGAGATGAGTACCTGGGGTTTGGCTGTAAGCTAGTGGGGTTGCCTGCAGCTGTCATGAGTAGGAAATGCGTTCAGCTGTGCAGTGAAGGTTGCAGCCGTTGCCTCATCTCTGGCAGAGGCAATGCTCCAGGCGTTCAAAGAACGCGTGCTTTTTATGCCACTTTCCCTAGAGATGTGCTTGGCACTGAAGAGGTTTTATGGGGCCTTCTTATGCTTTGCTTTAGCGTGTAAACAGATGAGCTCAGTCTCTGTCTGCCAATACCGTGCATTTCAGAAATAGGATTTCATTTCAGAAAAAAAAAAAAGAAAAAACCTGCTTTAAAACAGTAAGGCAAAGATTCCATAAATCCAGAACGTGCTTTCTGAAACAGATGGCTTTCTAAGTTTATATCATACTGTGATGTATTAAGAGATGCTGTAAAACAATTCCCTCACAAAGGAGCCGAGGACTTAAGCTTTTCTCCATTTGCTTTTCCTTGTCAGTTTGCGATGTATTGCCTGGTGCTGTTCTATAAAGTCCTGCGTGAAGAACTGAACCCTATCCGACCTGTTGGCAAGTTCCTTTGCGTGAAGATGGTCGTTTTTGTGTCTTTCTGGTAAGTGCGTTATTTACTCGTTGCTTCTTGCTCTCGGGGTGGGTCGTAAGAACTAAACAAGCTGGATTTGTTACCGAGGTTACAGGCCTCAAAATTTATCTACCCTTAGTGAAGTACTGTGAGGAGAAAAATGGGTGCTGCTATGTTGGTCAGAGCAGTCCTCTTCACTTGAGATTACGTTTTAGACTCGCTATTTTATAAGGTGATTCTCAAGATCATAATTTACTTTAGAATCTTCAGTTTCAGTTATTTCAAAAGAAAAATTTTATCTTTCTCTTTTTACTTTTTAAAGTAAAAGTAAAAAAAAAAAATATTACTCTTTTAGAGTAAGTTACTGTAAGTTACCACTTTAAGCATTGCTCAGACTCAGCTGCTAATGAGTGAGTGCATTGGACTGTCTGGACGTTGGTCTGTGTACAGAGTTAATACCCTGAAAGAGAAGCAATTTGTTCTGGTAACTACCTGGAACAACAAACTCTTTCTTGGGTGTGTCCTCTGTTGGTCTTTAGGACTGTGGATGAATGACATCTGGTTTGTTTTGTTTTCCTCTTCATCAAATCTAAATCTATGAACAGTACCGTTTCTCGTAAGAGTCTTCCAATGCACATACACGTGTATACATACACTCAGTCAGGCCTTGTTTACTAGATTTCCTTGAGGTTTTTTGGCACTACTGTTATAATAACAATAAAAAATAATCATTCTAGGCAAGCTGTGCTCATTGCATTGTTGGTGAAAGTTGGCGTTATTTCTGAGAAACACACCTGGGAATGGCAAAGTGTGGAAGCTGTGGCTACAGGCCTACAGGTAGGAGCAGACTGTTCTTTCTTAGGAGGAATGGCTGTATGTAAGATGACGCAGCTGATCTCAAGCAAATACTGTCATACTCACATCAATTAACACTGACTAGATTCGTACTGAAGTTATTTTAAGTTGGGCTGAGCTTCAGCCAGGGACCCCAAGCATGTTTTCTGCTCAACGCTTCTGTATCCGTGTGGCGGGCAGAAGGAATGTGCCCCGGTTAAATACTTTTGTTGGGTGTCCTTCTGTTTCGTCTTGCAAGGATTCACTGTAGAGCTGCTGCCTGGTGAATGCCCGCTCCCAGCAAGTCACTCCATCAGGCATGGACTGATTCCAATACGTATGTAGTACACCTGGCCCTCTGAAGCCTGCCAGGAGTATCCTACCTCTGGTGGAAAAGCAGCCGATGCCAGTATCCCAAGGCAATTGCAATCTTTCAGTTGTAGAAGAAACCCAGGAACTGTTTTTCTCCAGTTACGAATGTTGAAGTCAGTCTCTCTCTTGTTGCAGGATTTTATCATCTGCGTTGAGATGTTCCTGGCTGCTATTGCACATCACTACAGTTTTTCCTATAAACCTTATGTTCAAGAAGCTGAGGAAGGGTCATGCTTTGACTCTTTCCTTGCCATGTGGGATATTTCTGATCTGAGGGCAGATATATCAGAACAGGTTCGAAATGTCGGTAAGTAACAGCCAGATGTGTATGATCTGTGAAGAGCATTTTTATTTCCAGCTTCATTTTACACCATTATCCATCTCTGTAGCACCTCGAGAACACTCCGCACCACGCTGGTGGCAGCTGCATCCCTAGAGGATTTCATGATTTATCTGGCACTTTGCTCTTTCTGGTAGTTTTGATTTAGACTAGTTTTTGATTGTCTAGGTGGATCTCAGTGTAAGTTTCAAGTGTCAGGTAGAAGAGAGGGATGTCCTTTTTTTTAATGCAAAGACATCCTTTTATTTATTAAAGCTGACAATGCCCACGTAAAACTTTATACTTACATAAAACTTACATAAACGCACTCATCTCCTACTTTAACGTGCCTATTTTGTGTGTTCAAAGACCTTGGTATGCTGCTGGATGTATTAAAAGCTATTTTCATTTGGCATAATTCTAGGAAGGACAGTTTTGGGCCAGCCAAGGAAAATGTTTTTTGCTGAGGATCATGAACAAAACGAGCATACGAGTTTACTGTCTTCGTCCACTCAAGACCCAATTTCTGATGCTTCTTCAATGCCGTCTTCACCCATGGGCCATTATCAGGGGTTCGGACACACGGTGACACCTCTCACAACACCAACGACAGCCCCCGCGGTCGATGGCCTTTTTAACGCTTCTGCTCCTCGGGATGCTGAGGAGTCGCCTGAACTAGAGCAGAGTTCATCAGAGAGGGATTTGGGTAAAAGTTAGACTCGCCTTTTCTTTGAATGTGTCAAGCGGTCTGTCTTACACTTGCCCCAGATGTTCTGCTAACGTGCAACGAGAGTGGGAAAGCTACTGCGCGGACAGGAGGCGGATATGGCCATAACTGACGTCAGAGTTCTGAATCTGCCACGGATGCGAGTGTCGGTGAGTGCCCCGTCAACGTGAAACACGCACACTCTAAGAGTTCCTGCACAGATGTAAAAATCGGCTTCTTAAACTGCTAAACACTTACACATTGTGTCAAAATTACCCTGACTTTCATTAATACAAAAGAGCATTTGAAAAACACTCTGCTCGTCTAAAGATGCTGTCTGAGTACCCCTAGTGATGGGAAAACTGACAGGATGTCATTTAAGGAGGGTAGTAGCAAAAAGCGTTTGTGTTGGCTTTGGTTGTCCTCTTAATGATGTAACTTCCGTACCCCGATGCCGAATGGAGTGCGGATGAAATGGTAACCTCTGCACAAACACCACCTGCTTCCCTTCCTGGCACAGCTATGTAAAAAGCCCTCGCGAGGATAACTGCTACAGAAACCTGTCATCCGAGACAGCATTCCCTCTGTCCCCGCTGTAAAACTCTGTGCCCAGGATGCGGAGTTGGCGCGTCTGCTGCCCTCGTAGCTCGTAATCTCTAAGGCTGGTACGTTCAGGAGAGACAGCCAGGTCGAGAGTTTTGGGATCACCATCTTGCACCTGACTGTCTTTTTCCTGTCCTTCTAAAATAAGAGTAACGATCGCTACATGGAGGGGGGGGGGGGAAATAAAGGACGTCAAAAAGGAGGTAGAAAACAGAACTGATTATTTTGGGCTGCAATAAATTCTTTAACACCTGAGTTTTCATTTTGAAGCTGTTAAGGCAGGATTTCTTGACGATGTGTCTGTTGTAATTTGTATTCCTAGGTCTCCGTGTGTGATTATTGTATGATGCTTCTAGTATAGCCTGGATTCAAATGTAAGTCGACTTTTCCCCCCTCCCCCCCAGAAGAGACCTTTGCTAAGGTAAAACTGAGTAGCTAGTCTAATACTGGAGTTACTAGCCGGAGATTTCAGACCAAGAGGAGGTACGCTTGTATCAGAATGTTACTTTGCAAAACTGATCAGGTCAGAAGGGTATTGTTTTTATCCCTTTACCAGATTTTTACTACTACTGCATGTTTGCAATCTGACAAAAAGAACCTAGAGCACTGACCTCTTCAGTGATAACTGAAGTTTCTTTTTCAGCATTGTTAGCGTTTCCAGGATGTTTAATTTCTGCCTGCCAACAGTAAATTCATCTTAAGTGCTTTTCTTTGCAGTACTAGTGTGATGTAAATATTGCGCCTTACTCACTAGGCTGCAGGTTTTCTAGCTGACTATGTACTTGCTGTATCTGAAATTAGTGGGAAAGTGCAAATCATGATTTCCAATTTGCCAAGTCATTGCCTTTGTTGTAAATAATCAATTAAAGATTTTATTTAAACTGTTGACCTTCTTTCAGTTTGACTTATTGCTACAGGTATAAGAGTGTGAGTGACACATGAATACGACTGTCCTCTTCACATTTCTTTTCAAACACTTCAAGCAGAAGTGGTTGTATTCGTACTTGAAGTCGTGTCTGTTTGGTGTAAAGCTTAGGCAAGGTACAGAGAAGGGGACTGCGGTAGGAGAACGGCTAGTTAAGTGTCCTGTTGCGTCTTCCAGAGCGTCTCTAGAAAGCTACTGAGTTATTTCATTCCATGTGCACAGTGTTCAAGTGTTTTTTCAGGGGAAAAAAATTAATCTTTCATGGTTGTAGCTTATAGGATCATACTTGTCCATTAAAAATTGCTACTGAATTTCCAGAATCAATAGAAATGTTTGTGACACCTATGCTGACTTTTTGAAAACCACTAAACAATATTCCACAGTCTCTATGAATTTGATAGGTCATGCTAATGACTACTTGCAAATGAGCTTTTTGTATATTATCTGTACTAATTCCTCCATTGGTTTATGCCTAATCTATTTCTCAGCTTTTCATCAGGAGTCTTCAAGACTGCTCTTGCCTTACTTCTGCACACGCTGCTTGAAAACTCAGTTAATGGTAGTTTTCAGCCCTTTAGTCTCATTGATGACTAGAGTATGTCCTTTCTTAATTTCTAGAAAGCTTAATATGCCTAGCCACTATTATGGAATGTTTTTGCTTTTCAAGAGTTCTTCCAGCACAGGAAGCCTGAACACTTCCCTCTAAAACTGCACTTTGACACAACTAAACCTAGTAGGTGCAGGATATTTTCATCAGACAAAGTTAGGTTTAATGGATTATGGTTTTGTGTAGGGTGTTGGTGTGGTTGTTTCCCTTCTCTCCAACCCCCCACCGCCCCCCCCCCAAAAAGCATGAAAAGCTTCTGTCATACTCTAATTTACTTAATTTTATTTTGCATTGTACCAGTTGGGAGAAGGATGGTTTCCAGTTCCTTTATTTTCACAGAACTTGAGTTCTGTGACCTCTGGTTTGAAAATAACTGTCTCCAACTTACTAATTTATTTTTCTTCACCCTACTGGAAGGAGCTTTGTTGCAGCAATCTGGCAGGCAGAGCTCTAACAGTCCTTATCAGAGGTTTGACCTACTGAGGAGCACTGATGGGTCTTGTATGCACTGAAACACTAGAATTATTATTTATGGATGGGTCTTTTAGAGGCTTCTGTTAGGGAAATATCACAGAAATGCTTCTTCTGTGCTGAAGAGACAGCACTGGTGGTATAAATTAACTTAGTGAGGAAAGCTGTTACGTTTCTGTAGCTATCTCTACGGAGGTAGAATCAGTGCCCAGTTGGAAGCTTTTGTTGGTGTCCCCTCTGGTTATGAATTTAGAAGGAACCTGCCTCATGCCACACTGTCATGCTGCAGAAAAGATGTAGGGATTGTGTGAAAGCTGCATCAGTCACCACAATGAGTTCAGGCCCACTGCGTTACCAGAAATGCTTTGCTGAGGGACTCAGCCACATTTACTAGCTTTGCCTTCCACCGGACAACTGGAGTTACTGGGCAGCACTGTGTTACAACTCCTTGTACCTGTGTGTATGCCACACTAACTTGTGGTACTGTAACAACGGGAGTGGCGTTACAGTCCCTGCTGCAAGGCTACCATCACCAGAGCCTGAAGGGGGATGATGTGGTGACTGAGAAAGGGAACCACAGTTTGAATAACAAGGATCTGTCTTGAACAGCCCCAGCTGTTTATTTCTGGTACAGGCCTCTGGCTGCTGTTTCACTTATTAGAGATGATACAGTAGCAAGAGGAGTCTGGCCCATGGCTGTAGTCACTGCAGCAGCAGAGAGGACAATACCACTCTTAACTACTTGGTAAGATACTTTTACAGAGCAAGTTTTAGTCCACAAATGGAAACCAAGTGTCTACTGTTAAAGCAACAAAATAGCCTTTTTGCTCAGCAGATGAACTTCTGGCTTTAATATAAATTAACATCAGTGATGTTATGCACAGGTAATTAACCACAACTCAGTTTGTCATGTGACATTCTTCACCGTTTCACCGTAATGCTAATATTGCTTTTATGGTGCTGAACATCAAGCACAAGTTCATCCCCAACCTGAACTCTGATGGGCTCATCGAGAACCACCGCTGCTTGTTTCCAGTGTGAGAACTCATCAGATGTATCCAAGCTCTGGTCTTCATCTAGATGTATGTGATACCAGAAGGGAACTGCAGTGACTTGGCCAGACTTACAGATTTGTACCTAAAACCAGGTAAAAATATTACATCAGTTACACCCTTCTCACAGGGGGAAGACAAGCAAGTAGTCCAAAGCATTTCAGAGGCGGGTCAGTTCTGTACTGGAATCTTGAGCCACGCAGACCCACAGCTGAGCACACTTCTGACTTCACATGTGCACCCACTCACCTTCACTTCTCTGCTGGAGCTGTTCAACAGCGGGTTCATGAGATCCAGCCGTAAAAGCTCTGCTGGCTTGCTCAGGGGGAGACACGGTAACGTAGAGAGATCCAAGTACACACGAACAGGTACCTAGGAGTACACACCGTATCTTAAGGCACCAACAGCCATTACAAAGTGAAAAGTTGAAAGAATCCTAATACAAGATTCTAGGAATTACTGTAATGCCTGTAAGAGACAGCCAAAACGCAAAATACGCTGTTTAATCCCTTCTGAAATACGACTGTGGGGATATAAGGTGATGAAGGAGACAGCAGAGACACTCTGCTGTACGGCAAAATGGCATCTTTCATTACTCAGCCAAAACTCCTACACCCACCATTCTACACCAAATGTTGCCCATTTTAGTTTATCTCAAGGTCTCTCTCTGATCACATAAACCTCTCTGGAGAGCTTCCACAATGTCAAAAAGGGACAGTTCTTTAGCATCTTGGAGTTCACACCAAGAGTAAACAGCTAGAGGGCTGCAGGCTTTGGAACTCTGCCCAGAAGACACCCACCAACTTCATACCTTAAACTGGTTGATGAAAGGGGCTATATTAAACCCAAGAGTCGGTTCCGTTCCTTGAACAGCGCTCTCCAGTAACAGAGACTCCGATTCTACGAGCATCCCGTATACCAACACATACTGGGGGAAAATCTTCCCTCCACTGTGAAGTAAACACCTGTGAAATGAGAGAGATGTCAGCTCTGAGGCACACCATTCCACAGCAGAGAAGGAAGGTAACACACATTTCAGAAAGGCACACTAGTTCTTCCTCGGAAGGGAAGCACTCATCAGCAATTGAGTTTGATCCCATTTGACCAGGCAGCCGTATCACCCAACAAAGGAAAACTTGTCACATAAATACTGTAACTGGGGAACTCTGTGTCAGTGCTGGAAACGGTGACACTCGGAGATGAGGATCGTGGGATTTATTTGTAGCACCAGCATCTAACACTGAAGGGCAGGCAGAAAGGCTTAGGAAACCTGGAAGTCAGGCAGGACGTACTGCTGGGGGACACTGGTTAAGGAGGCTGCATACCCATGGGGAAACAAAACCTGGTGGGAATTCCACTTGCCCTTCTCTCAGTGTTTAACCGCAATACAGGAGACAGCATTTTCTCCTGACAACACCCCTCAGTCTTTCCTGGTCTCTTGCTACAGAATATCCCACTGCTGAGAGCAGCAGCAGGACAGGAGCTTTCCTTCAGCAGAGTATCAAACACCTGCAATTCAGATTGGTTTAGGTTTCCTTTTCCTGTAGCAGGCTGCTTTTCACAGGAATGGGGTAACTAAGTAGTGCGCTGCTGGATGTATTTTTCATGCCAGCAGAGCAGACTCTGCATATGACAAAAAAGTAGTTTTCCATTTGTTCTTACAGAAAAAAACAAACTTTCAAAGTCATCAAAATATTTATTCAGAACTTGGAAAAGGTAATGAACATAAATCATCTGGAATATTCTCCCCTCACTAAGCACTAACACGAATAGAGAAGATTCCCTAGCACCAGAAAAGGGGATAAACCCACTCCACATTTACATTTTTTGCTACCCATTTCCATTATTTTATTTCTCTTGCTCTGTGTTCCTCCCCACCCTGCCTGCCCTGGGTACCAGCTAGCTTTGTTGCTGCTGCCCCGGCTGTTGTAGCACCGTGTGCTTGCCTGTGGCAGTACCGGTGTGATCCAACAACAGTCTGACGTGTACGTGAACCTGAGCTTTTTTAACCTTGCAGTAAAAGCTACCTCAGTCCTTACTAAGATGCTGCCTACCCTGGGAACTTCCGACAGACCAAGCAATACAATCTGCCATTCCTATTCTTGCATACAAAATAGAAAGAAGTCTCCAACATTGAAATCTTGACGCTTCTTTTAAAAGATACACATGTACAATGATCACACCAGAAACACTCCGTGAGGTTCAATCCATTCAGAAAACGAGCTTGTCCTGCTCTACTGTAGCAATGTAACAGTAATTTTGTCATTAGAAGGAAGTTTTAAAAGTTTTCAGATAATTACAGATTCCTAGGAATACTTTTCTCCATTAATACTGTACCTGGATATTGCAGCCTTTTCCATCACCTCCTGCTGGATTAAACCTGATGTCTCTATAACATCCAAGATAATAATACTCCACAGTTTGTCTGATTTAGGTCTCTGTAGCACTACACTTTCATCTTCTAAGTGGCTGAGCCAAAACTCTAATGTTTCCTTAGGGAAGTGGTTAGCTTCTGCGATGACAGCAAGCGCTGCCTGATGCTGTTCTTTCTCAATGGAACTGTAGGCTCTAACCGGTCCGAGTTTGCCAGCTATAACAGGCAGGATGGAGAAGCCTTCAGACACATCTAAAACGTACAAAGGATCAGGAGCCATGTCCAGGGAGCTCTTGTTTTGACTCTCTTGGGGGTTCATTCCACTGCCATGTCCATCAACATCCATGGAATGCAAGTCCTTACTTGGATTTAATGACAAGAGCACTTTGCCCATGGCAGCTTTAAAGCGTTCGTGGTACGGCATGTTGTTGAGCAGGGCTATTTCTGTGGATTCCAGCACGCACACTTGGCTGGGGCCATCTGGTTTGCTAGTTGTCTGAAGACCAGCCAGGGCATTACACAGCTCAGCCTCATTGCCCAAACTCAGTGCCTCATCTCTGTCACCGACGTCCATCCCGCAATCTGAACTCAAAGTAGTCATCTTCTGGATCTTCAAGTAGCAGTCTTGGCAGCAAACTTCCATCATCACAGTGTCCCCAGCCTTCACGGAATAATCTTGGCGAGACAGCACAAAAAGTCATGCCAGTTACTTTACAGCAAACATCAGTGAAGCGGCCATACGGTGTCTTAAACAAACAAAAGCCATACAGTGCTTAAAACAAAGCATTTTCTTATTTCTCCATTACTTCTTACTGGTGTCTATGAAAGAACTGCTCTAGTCCGTAGCTCAGAAGCAGAAATCTGCAACTGTGCCTTCAACTGTCCCACACCAGGCAAAATCCATTTATTCTCAAAATAAGCCTATGATAAATAGATACTACTTTAAGTGTTCTGTCAACAGCAGAGCAGAACAAAATCATACTGATAGAGAAATTGCTTTTGCTTTAAAATGCTAAATATTAAATATTTATATTTTAATACCTCCTGTAGACATAAGTAACTTTGGAGTTACATGGAAAACAACAGCTTAGAAAACAACAACAGTTTAGAAAGGGTAACTAATTCAAGATCAGTTTCGCTGGAGCATTTAGGGTGTACAGGCCAAGATGGTCTTCGGATGCTTCCTGTTTATGTTCTAAGACAGTAAATCCACTGATACAGACCAGAATTTCCAAACAAAACTGCTATAGTTTGACAACTATTTCTTTTAACAGCAACGTAGGCTACGATAGGCTCTCCCCTCTCCTACGCTTTCAGTTGAACCAGTCTGCGGCACAGCTGCCCCTACTGTCTATCAGTACTAAACTAGGAGGACTCCAACAAGGAGAGAGATCTGGGTCACTGTAAGGTCTCTCTACATCAGCTGTATGACATGGAACAAGAGCAAGTGCTGGATTCTCCATCTGGGATGAGGTAATCCTGGTTACACGTACTATTGGGGAAGAAAGGCTGGAAAGCAGCCCCTTGGAAAGAGAGCTAGGGGTTGGGTGGATGGTAAATCAAATGAGTCAGTGTGCCTCGATAGCCAAAAGGGCCAAGCGTGTCCCAGGGTGCATCAAGCACAGCACAGCTAGCTGGTCGAGGGACGCGACTGTCCCACTCCACACCGTGCTGGTGCAGCCCCACCTCCAGCACCGTGTGCAGTTTTGGGCACCTCAAGAAGGACATCAAACTACCCGAGTGTCCAGAGGAAGGAGAACAAGATGGTGAAAGGTCTCGAGGGCAAGACTTATGAGGAGCAACTGAGGTCACTTGGCTTGTTCAGCTTGGAGAAGAGAAGGCTGAGGGGTGACCTCATCACAGGCTACAACTTCCTCAAGACTGGACCAGGCTCCTCTGGGATGTGGCCATGGCACTAAGCCTGTCAGAGTTCAAGGTGAGGGATAGGCAGGAATGTTTAGTTTTGGTTTTGTGGCAGTAGCACCTAACAATTCCCACCTCACCTGCCCCACCTCCCTTTCACAAGTCACAACTTGACTAAGCACAGCCAGTCAGTAGCCCCACTTTTTGGAATTGCTCCACAATGCATTTAATTCAGTACAGAAAAAAACCAAACAACCAACACCCCAACTTAACGGAAAGCATTCTCCCAGACCTTAAGCAGGTTCCTTGTCTGCTTAATACCAAAGTCCCACCACCAAGACCTGATGCAGGGACTATGCACCACAGACCAGAAACATGGTCAGGAACCACCTCACAGCTACTTGCTTTTGAACTTTGAAACCTATTTGCTCCACTTCCTAATCTCCGAGACAACCTAACTACCTCAAAACCAAAATGAAACCAAGTTAATGTATTGCAATAAGAAAATCCACAGGACGTACCAGGGAGGCCCTGCACAGGATAGACTGCCTGCTCCCAACACGTTTCCTCACTGGGGCTTGTAGACAGAGTGTGCTCGTCATCAAGCTGTAGTACAAACCACACCACAATAGCATCCAGTATTCCTTCTTCAGTAACTGGCAGGCTGAGCTTCCAGGGCTTTCTGGCTGCAAGGCTTTTCAGCTCCTGACCAAAGTGGAAAGAGAAAAAAAGTGTGAGTTTCTTTCCACAGACAACAGATGGTTTTTATCAAACTCATTATGTCACTCAAATCAATCCTTGAGGGCACTCGACAGAAACCTGAAGTTCACAAGCTGCTACAATACCAAACACCATTGGTGCTCACGAGCATTGGAACCGTCTTCCCACATGCAAGTGCTGCTACGCACACGCCTAACCTGCGCCTGTCAGCCATCAGGGCCAACATACATACATCTAAGAACATTCGTATTTAGAAACACTGAAAATAACAAGAAAGGCTTTAGATTGGCAAGGCTTGCCTTAGAAAAACTAATAAAAACAGAGACAGCTTTTTGGGCTGGATTCAAGCCAATGCTTAGCACATGCTTCACTTAAAGCCTGTGTTCAATTAGTTCTAGAAATACTCTGTGTAAGCACTGAACTTGCTCAAACAGAGGTTCGGCAAAATCATGACAAAGACACCAAGTCAAACATCTTCCAGGATATTTTCTCTGCTACCTGGGCTACAGGCTTTGTGAAAAGCTCAGGCATGTACAATTTCAATACTGGGAAGAACCAAGATCTCCCCTAAAGGGATCAGGTTATAAATTCTCCAATACTCCTAAAATTTTTGAATATGTAACAGGAATTGTCTTCTTCCATGTACGATTTATTTTCCTCAGTCATTACCTTCTGCTACCACCATTCACAGACAGAAGAGGCCCAGCTCTAATGTAGATTGTTCTGGCATAAACCAACTAACAGGAGGTCTATCACAAGGGACAAAAGGTTCTCTTATTCACAACCCTTATACTTAGTAAGGGCCACGCCTAAACATTATCAGCTGCCTGAGCTGCTTATGTCAACATCTGTCCTAAGTTTCAATCTTAAAATACATAGGGCAAAAGAAACGTTCTACTCTGAAAACACGAGCAGCTCCCACATAACTGCATTTTTTTATTTTTCCCCCTCTTCATTCTCATTCTGGGTTCTCCAAGAGTTGGTCTACCTCTCTTCTCACAACCGAGAGATGGTTGGACAAGGCACGTGTCCGTTACTGGATGCTAATAAAGTTCATAATGAGATCTCACTGCTCTTCAGTAAAAGCGTGTTACTGCTAGATGTTTTTCCATTCATCTTCAACTGGAGAAAAGATCAGGAAGCTGACGCTTTGCTGGCAGTAAGCCCCTTGAAGCAAGACAGAAAAGCACAAGTGTGCGTCTGTTTCTCAGTTTCTAGGAAATTATAGCTGTTCAGAAGTGTATTTTATAATAAAAACATTCTTAGTTATTCCTCAAAAGCAGCAGGCCCAAGGTTCTCATCCACTAGTTCCAGGACCTGTCGTGTCACATCCCTATCTTGTGGTACACATCTCTTAAAACCCACTTGAAAGCAGTTATTTCAGCTTTCTCTGCTGTCTAGCATGCTGCTTATCCCACACTTATTCCTACTAGCCTTTTTTCTACTATTTGTAACAATTACAGACTCGAAGAGCTCTAGCACATCAGGATGGCAATTTATCAGCTAGTGTAAGGAGACAGCAAAGAAAATAAAGCAATGATGTGGGAATAAGGCAGTAAAAAACCAAAGTGATGCTACACCACATATACCCTCTGAGAAGATAACCTGCATTTAAAAAAGGAAATGGGGCTATACATAGAAAGAAAAAACTACAGAAAGAATGCAGCTATCCATTTCCTGTATCTTGATCCAGAATTCCTCAAGTATTCACGCAGTAGAATCATAGAAT